CTTTCTTTCTTGGTATTAGTTATATAGTCTTACAGCTTACAATTATTCTACTGTTCTATATACCATATTGTATCTTTTTCTTTATTCCTTTTCTCTGTTCGGCTGCTTCTTCTACTCTGTTCTCTTCTCTTTATTTACTTTTAGTACCATCAAATTAGGACTGGTGTCCAAGGACTCATATCAAACGTTTCTAACCTTCTACCTTCTTCCTGTCATAAATGCTAAATCTAGACTAGACTACACAATAATAATTCTCCAAGATCTGAAGGAATCTGAAGGATACTAATACTACAACTACTGCTCCTGACAGCTATCCATGGCTTTGCAAACTATGATATACCTTGGGTATAGGCTAACCCTATGGGACAATAAGCCATATGGAACGCCATAAGATATTCCTTAAAAGGTCAGCAACAATGTGTACTTTACAGCTTATCTATCATGTTTGAAATAAGTTGCTCACAAGGCTATACTTCTTGAAAAGCTATAATAACCAAAGTAATCCGATTCTGTTTACCGTTCAGTAGTACAGTTCAGCTGAGCCACTGAGGGGGATCATCGATTAACCCCGCATAACCCAAGACCGAGTATAGCAGTGATAAACACTGCGTAACTACTCACCAAGCCCATTTCGATCGGGGACGATATTGCGGAAATGATCTGCATGATCGCTCGATTTAATCCAAGCCCACTTGGTAGTGGCGAGCTGAGCTCGAATGAACCTGGACTTGAACTGTCTATGTGTTTCCACAACATGAGGGGACATTGCCTCAGCTGGGATGGGTCTGTGAGCTCACATCTCCACTACGACGATCGAGCAAACTCAGTGTGACAGCTACCCTTGGTTCTGGCTGCCCAATCTCACCCGCTGTAGCCGCATAGCCCCTCATAGAGCGAGTCGCCCATATCGCAATGTCTCCAGCGATCATGATATGAAGGATGGCCGTGCGTAAGAGGTCAAGGACATAAATACCGCCGGCTTTCCCAGTCTGCCATCAGACATTATCACTTCAAGCAGTGAGCATTTGTCATCTCTTCGCATCAGCCCCTGTGAGTCTACAGGATCCTACCTGTTCACCATCTATCTGACGGCAACCCCTAGTCACCTTGCTACACAACACAGCCAAAATGCGTGTATACACTGGCAAGATCAACTACGGAAGTTATGCCCAAGATGAGATCATTAATGTCATCTTTGGCGAGGACTGCGAGACCATGAACGAGCCGGTAACCGCAACCTGGCAGTGGACTAGGAATGCCGCCGGTGAAAGGAAGGCAAACTCGATCCACGTCGGGACCCTGAATGGATTGAAACACCGGAACGAAGGGGAGACGGAGATTGAGTTCCTCCAGAATCAGGCTCTGGATTCCTACTACTGGTAAGTGTCTCCGCTCTTTAATTGCCATCCTTACCGGACTCTAGCTGAAAGACTTTTCCTCTAGGTTTCAGGGGAGAGTGACGGAGTCCGATTTAGTCTTGACCATGTACAACGAACGGGATGAGTTCTGTGTCGACAACATTACTCTCGAACGTACATCTTAGTCTTTTTAAAGTTACCTGGGGCCTTAGTATCGGTTGTGCTTCGTGCTGGCTTTCCTTATTCCTGTTCAAGTGAGAAGTTCAGTAACAGGTGCCTCTATATGGACTAAGAGGCCAGGGAGGGGTGACATAGAAATTGACCATGACATGAACTGATTGGAATGACTCCATATACAAATGTAATCCCTGCAATAAAGACGTGAACGCGGGAATCATAGCTCTGTGTCATATGACGACCTGATGCTGAGCGATGTCTTAAGAACTTGGGTAGTTTTACATTAATTCTCTATAAATTGTCACTGTGACTTGTATATTCGTAGGACTTGAGTTTTAAACTAGTTTAAAAATATGCAATCTATTCACAGTAGTACTGATAGTAATAGTAAAGATTGAGTTATATCTATAAAAAATTTACTCTGTTCAGTCAACCGGCGGTGGAATAAGGTTATGTGACTGCTGGAAAATTGGCGCCGGTGGTCCGAGAATGAGATCCGGGGGGAGGGGAACTCACCTGTGTTCTGGCCTTGAATGAGGATTCCCCACCGTATAAAATGCCCAGATTGCGGTAACAAATGTCGATTGTCTGGAACTTCGATCTGGTCCGCCCGAGTGCCCTCCCACAGCAGCACGCACGCCCATATTCAGCCAGCCACAAACCAGCCCATCATACATCGTGGTTCAAAAGTCTAAATGGCACCTGCGAAGCGGCCTGACCGCACAGATCCGATCACAGTGGAGAAACCCCTCCCGCCGAAGCGAGAATCTTTCTATCAACCGATGGGTTTCGGTAGAATGAGCTGAATAGTGGGGTTTGATCGACGCCGTCCAACCCCCCATCGTGTATCGAGAAGCGGTGAGAGAAGCGAGTATGTATAGACAGTGTTGATTGTTGGGAGCTCTCGTTGATCCTGTCATAAAGTAGTTACCTATCTAGCTGCACTTCCCTTGGAGGGGCTTTCTGTTTGCCGATCAGAAGACGTGTCAAAGACGGGAAAGAATGCAGGCCAATGCATCAATCAGCACTGGACGGGAATGAAACTGATCCATCGGTCATTGTCCGCATATGTCTTCCGAATATGTGCTCCGACCATAGGTAGTTTGTGAACCTGGGTATCAAGGGCACAACTTACCTAGATACTTACACAGTCACACTCACCTTATGACTTGCTAAGTGGACCCGTTAGCTTATATACCACACTGATTTTAGTGGGAGTTTTAATTAAACGCTGTGGATTTCTTCGACCCGCATCGGCAGCCATGGAGATACGCAGGACTGTGTAGGTGTGTAGGTTAACCCGACCCGCAAAATGAACCCGACAGTCCGCTACTAGACCCGATTAGGCATTATATACCTGGGTAATCAGGCACCAATCACACCACTGCGCTGTCCAATCCCGACGTCATTCGTGCGCTACCGGCTGGTCCAGCCCATGAACCACTATCCCAAGGAGACTGGCTGCCTATTACATGCGTCGGGTGGCTTCGAGTCAGTTGACTGATACGGGTCACCCCACTACAATCCATATGAGAGCGAGAGGCTCCAGCGGAGTCCATTTGTCACTGCCAAACGAGAGTTGACTTCATTGTCTAGATCACACCTGACCTGGCATCATATCTTATTTTCCATGGTTTTGTAAGGTGGCCTGACTGATGGTAACAGCAGTGTGTTCTAGGGTATACCATCAGTGTATAACTTGGAGTATATAAATTTGGTCTCACCCGATTCGCACACGAAGGTCCTGCTTATAGCTTATCGTGGCAAACAAACTCTTGTAGTTGTATCTTGTTTCAACTCCTCGAAAATGCCATTTGGCTCGCTCTCAGTATCCAACACGGCCATCCCACAGTATGCTCCCCCGTATCCTGTAGATGGCAGCGACTACACATGTGAAAATGGTCTCATCGTTACCTATCAAACATCACTCCAATGTGTGCGCCATCTTGTGCCGGACATGCTGGAGCTCGAGGATGAGCCACAAGTAACAGTGATGGTTTTACAACACACAATGACCTCGTTCGGACCGTACAATGAGTATGTCCACGCGGTCCAAGTCAAATACAAGGGCGACACTTTTGACTACTTCCTGTCCCTGATCCTAGACAATGACTCGCCGATACTCTGCGGCCGCGAACAATTCGGCTTCCCCAAGAGGTTGGGGAATGTGGTGTTGACGTCGAAAACGGGATCGACAGTCGTTCACGGCTATGTTGAGAGACCTACAGGCCAAAGGGTGATTGAAGTCGGGTTCCAGCCGGAACAGAGACTCAGGGGTACGGTGGAGAGAACAATCCCGGGGTTAAATTTGAGAGTCATCCCCTCAGTGGTTCCGGGTCAGGGTCCGTCCATCAAAGAATTGGTGCCAGTTGACATCACGATGGAGGCAAGTGAGGTTTGGGAAGGCTGTGGTTCAATCTGCTTCCCGGAGCCGTCAAGGTTCGATCCGATGCATGAAGTCAAAGTGCTTCGATATATAAACGCGACTCTAGTGCGGAAGGCAGCCCTTGCGATCCGTTTGCCGACCAAAGTGTTCCAGCTATAATCATGCTGTATTCCATGCGAAAGTGAATGTGTTTATACCGTGCAATACTGGAGCGGTGTTAATATCAAACAATGTAGTAGCATTTCAATGAATAAACTAAAATATGGATGTGTTCGGGAAAATGTCATTCATTATGACTCGCTATTCTCATCTTTGATATGACGCGTCCTTGCTTGATGGCGAGGGCGTGCGTCTAGGCAAACGCGCCCCCCAACTAGGCCAAAAGCTCATATTATTCTGAATCTATGCTTCGAAATACTCTGGATCGCAGCTAAAAGCTCACCACCGTTACTCAGATGCTCATAGCTTCGCTAGTGTAAATTATCTTATGATATTATCGGACTTTGGTTGGGTCCAGTAGACAACTTGTACCACTCTATATATAACCCTTCCATCATGTGTAAACATTCCTTAAAGGGTCCAGTGATAGGCATATTATGATACAATTTCGCGCGACCAAAACTGCCATCATGGTCATGACCCTGGTGCTACAGTTTCAGTCCTCTCGAAGCTTTCGCTACGTCCCTTAGCTGCCTTCTTAGTATCTTTCCAGTCGGACTTTTTGGGATCGCTTCAAGGAAAACCACGCCGCCTCGTAATTGTTTATGAGAGGCCAAGTTGGCTTTCACAAATCCTTTGATCATAGTCTCCGTTACCTGACTTGGGTCTGCCACCACATACGCCCTAGGAAGTTCATTCCCCTCCATATCCGGATCAGGGACGCCAACCACAGCAGCGTCCCGAATATGCGAATGGGAGAGTAGAAGCGCTTCCAGCTCCGCTGGTGCTACCTGGAGCCCTTTATACTTGATCATTTCCTGAGGTCGAACTTTGAGCATCCCGCATCAGGTCTTCCCGGGGGCGTCCAGCACTCACCTTCTTCCGGTCAACAATGAAAATTTTACCGTCCATGCAATAACCCAAATCTCCCGTTTTGAACCAGGCCCCGTCTGCAGTAAAGCTCTCTTTAGAGGCCTTTTGATTGTTCCAGTATCCCTGAGTAACCATTGGGCCTTGAACTACAAACTCGCCTATTTCCCCCTCACTCACGTTATTTTCAGAATCATCAACAACCCGTAGTCGGATGTTTGCAACCAGAGGGGAGACACTGCCATCTGCTATATGGGCGTCCCACGGCGAGACGGTAACGCTGCCTGTGGTTTCACTAAGACCCCATGTTTGAGTTACTGCACAGCCCAGTTTGCTTTCCGACTTTTTCACGAGGTCAGGGCCCATGGGAGCTGCACCGGAGACTGCGTGGATTAGGTATTGAAACTGGTCTGTAACAAACGAGCTCTGTACAATCAGCTGGAATATCGGGGGTACTGTAAAGAAGAACGTGACGCGGTACTCTTTGCAGTAGGCGAGGAACTTCTGGAAGTCAAACTTCGGCATCCAGTACACTGCTCCACCACACAACGCTGGCTGAATAAAATAGCCCTGGCAACCGGCAATGTGAGCAGCGGGGAGATGTGCAATGGTGCGGTATTCCGGGTGGAAATCCGCAGACCTTGTTTTCTGACGGGATATATAATCCCGATAGGTGAATAGATTCACCATGGCGGAGGATACCAGGTTCTGGTGGGAGATCCTTACACCTATAGACAAGGGATCCTATGAGCGGTCAACTGACTGAGAGGGTAAGATAAACTCACCTTTGGGCTCGCCCGTTGTACCACTGCTGTATATCAAGCAGCTGGTGCGGCTTTTGAGGATAGCCGGATCTGAAACCTTCTCCCACTGCAGCTGGCCTGGATATTGTTCTAGTAAATTGATAGTTTCCTGGGAACAAGCCGCCAGATGACGCTTCCCTCCCCGACTGTCTAGGACCAACACCCTTGACGGCGACATAGCGCACTTTTCTGCTGCTTGCAACGCGATACTTTTGCAGTCTTGGCTCGTGATCAACAACTGACAACCACCGTGTTCTAACTGCCGTGCCAGTTCTGCTACCGTGAGGCTGGAGCTAGCTGCACTGTAGACCCCTCCTGCGGCGATAACCCCATAGAACACCGAAGGTAACAGGACTTGCCCAGACGAGATGCAGGCAACGACATCTTTCCCTGCGGAATTGGCCCCGATACCATATCCCTCACGCAGAGCGTGAGCAATTCTTTTGGTATATGTTCGGCATTGGGCTTTTGTCACGCAATTCGCTGTGTTCCCTGCTTCGATATGCAACACGGTATCATCGGTGGATAAGCTCAATGGGTAGTCTGTGTCCCGTCAGTTTAAATGCCACTTTCCAAGGATTATATTAGGGTTGTCACCAAAGATCAGCGATAAAGGATCAATGTCCGGTAGCCAGTAGTCCTTCGCTGCGTTGTAGATGGTACGGACGGACATGACTGCGAGTACGACGAGAGACTTTGGTCTGGATAAGAGCTCCTCTTGCCATAATTGTATGAGATACCCTCATTATATTTCACATTTATGCTTGATCAATGTATAACCTGGCCCATCTGGCGGATCGGAATCGGGATGTCAATTCCACCGGAAATCACTGTGGACCTCGGCAACTTCTACGATGACATCCGACACGCACGTCTGGGGAAATGCAGACTTCCGAAACGTTTCTGACCGGCTCCCATAGCCAGTAAAATAGTGTAAGACCGGCTATGATGAAGCCAGCTCGCGCTCGGAATGCGTGTATGAGATGTCGCAGGCAAAAGTTGAAGGTTTGCTACCCCCCTGGACACAGCCGCGGTCTCATACTAACAGCATGTGAGTGCGACAATATACGGCCCTGCCAGCTGTGCTCTCGAGCTGGGGTAGACTGCCAAAGTGTTGCTAGTAAAAGGCAAATGTGAATCTTACTCAGCCTTATGTTCCGAGACTAGCTAACCAACTTTGCGACTGTTGCCAGGAGGCAGCCCAACTTGAGACCACTGCGACGGAGAGATATCAGCGGTCTGAGCACCGCTGGTGAACCGGCACCACCATGCCCTACCGCCACTAGTGCTATCGAAAGTACTCCTATACATGAAGCTGTACCCCTTATAAACCCACTTGCGGAAGATCGGGGTCCTTCCACCTTCCACCTAGTTGAACAGGTACCTCCACTCTGTCTATACTTAATGCTCTTGGTTTCTTCTGACCTCCCTTGGCTTTTTCGCAACCATCTGAGAAATCTGCGACAGTCAGATGCTATTCCGGATGGCCACCCAGCTAGCAAGAATCCCGCCCAGGACACAGTTAAGATACCAGTCAAAGATCTGGTTGGAGTTCAGCTGCCCTCAGACCCAGTCGCTACAATACTCATCGACGCATATCTGGAGGCAAACCATTGGTACCTCGCACTCTTCCATGTGCAAACTTTTCGAGCTCGTGCAATGCCTATGATACAAATGGGTGCTGCCGCAGTGTCTGAAAAGCCCTTCTTATTATTACTGCTGGTAGTTCTGATGATCGGGACCCGATTCGTCCAGCCAGAAATTATTACAACACACGATCCTGTATTCAATATTGAGTCCTATCGTAACCAAGTACTCAATGCTGTCGAGCAGCATTTATTCTCGTCGTTACACGAGGCAGACCTCGAATCTATTGGATGTGCCCTCTTAATGTCCATTGCATACCTTCTAGAGGGAAAGACGAAGTTGGCATTTGTACTATCTGGCATGGGACTTCGCATCGCCCACGCCATCGGGCTACATGACGAAAGGACTTGGGATCCACTAGAGAACGTCGAGTTACAGGTTCGACGGAGGGTATGGTGGGCAATATATATGGCCGATGGGTAGGAGTAACCGTTATTACCCTCAGATCATGCCTGAAACAACCTGACTTTGAACCTTCATTATAGGTACGCTGCACAGGCGTACGGCAAACCGCCAATCCAGGCCGGGGGACGGTTCCGCGTTTTAGAACCTCAGGACCTGGACGATATAACAACCTGTCCTGGCATTACCTCGTACGAGGTGCGAGAAGACGGTTCCCTGAGACCCGTCAGCTCATTCTCATACAACCGATATAAAGCCCAACTGTACTCGATAATGTCCGCTGTAATGCCTGGCATGCGATTGAAAGAAATCAAAGACGTATACAGCCGCCTCTCGGCTTGGGAAGCAATGATTCCTCCCGAATTACGGCTAGATACTCACAGAAATTACGAAGGCGAGATGCAAGACAAAGGGCCACGCGTATTTACACTGCAGGCACTGACTCTCCAGCTCGCCTTTGACCATAATATGTTATTACTACTCCGCCCATTTCTGGTCAGCAAACGGCACTTGAGCATCCAGGTATTCTCTCAGTCCGAACCCAATAGCAGCGAGAGTCCCGTTACGGTCCGAGACCAAATGATAACATCGGCCATCCGAATATCCAGTATTCACCAACATCGAGGGATTATACGTCTGGTTTCCAATACAACGGCTGCTGCGCAGGTGTGCTTCCAGTGCTTCACCGCTGGTGTCATTCTGGCAATGCTCGCACTATCCGATATCTCTTCACCTCAAGTACCGAAGTTCAAGCAAGCCCTCGCTCGTTTGATCAATATATTGTCCCTAGCAGGATCGGGGACGCTACTCAGTAAACAAAGCGTGGAGATTCTAACGGACACAATGCATATTATTTCGTCGCAAGAGGTCAGCGCGCTGATCGATCATGTGGCGGGTGATTCCGAGGCAGAACACCCACTATTGGGTAATCGGGAGGCTGAGCGCGCTTTGGGTGACGTCCAGGCCCCTGAAGTCTCGTCTGATGTTGCGGTAGATGACGAAGAGATTTGGGGGGAGCTGGGGAGACCACTCGATTTGGATGGATTTGATATCTCTAGCTCGACGTCGCTCTACCAGCAGCTTGCTCTTTTTCTCTGAGTTTACTTGTATGTATACGTAATGGGCCAACTAATTAGAATGTTCAATTTATGGAAGCTATGAATTGTGGATAGTGTCCGGCATCCTGGTTTTGTGGGTGTATTGCTACACCGTTCCAATACCCAGGCTCGATGATTGGATGTTACCGAATATTTAGATTGAAGAAGAGGAAGCTCAACGTCAAATGCTTCCAGGTGACCCATCGTAAAAATGGTGGGGTATTCTGAAGATACAGCCTACCCTCTGGTGCATGTGAATACATCTGATTTGTTGAGAAAACAAGAATATCGGCTTGGTTCACGCTGAAATCGTCTTCGTGTTGTGTTGAATGTGGATTAGCTGCGGTATAGGGAAAAGCTTTGCTATCGCACCATTTTCGTAACTATACAAGACCGATATTCCGAGTAAATATACGACGAGCACTACTCTGAGCTAGAGTTCTCCGATGTTACAACCCCAATCCTCTAAACTCTCGGCAACTAAAGTTATGAATTCCGGTGGAATTCGGATGTTACGCTCCACCCAAATTGCTCTCGGAATATTGTCCAATCAGTGTCCTCCTGAGGCACTCTAATGTTGGATTTAGCTCTAGAATCCCGATCTCCACAATCTAGTTTACATCCAATTCTGTTAAAAGAACGTGGAGCGTGGTGTGATGAAGCCATGGTGGACCGAGGTAGCTCTGCAACTCTCTAAATCAGACTGGGCATATATAGAGGAAAGTTTCATGCCAGACACGAAGATAAAACTGTTGCTCCTCGCTGCACAACCCACACTCTAGACAGAAAGCACTGCTGTACTCCGAGAATCAAAAAGGAAAATGGCAACCGTTAACTCGAAAAAACCGTCATCCTCCACCGATGGATTCTTCCAATCCCTGCCCCTCGTCCCACCAGCCTACACCTCCAACAACGACCACACCCAATCCGCCCAAAAGCTTTCCGACGACACAGCCCTCGCCCGGGTATTAGATCTCTACCTCCCTCAGAATTGCCCCTCGGTAACAACCTCCATCCACAACCTATCCCGCCTCGCCCTCGACCCCAAAATCCTCCAACTGGGTGTCGACGCAGAGGTGAACCAACCTACCCTCAGAGCCCTCACGACATTTGGCGAAGAGAACCGCGTTGACCCGCTGTGGGTGAGTGAGGGGTGGCGTAAACTGAAGGCCATCGGACAGGAGGAAGGGCTTGTCGCTGTCGCTTACGAGCGAGAGAATGAGTCCTGGAATCGGCGAGTGCATCAGTTTGCGCTAAATCATGTGTGGACTAGTAGTTCGGCTATGACGGGGTGTCCGGCGTCCATGAGCGATGGGGCGGCGAAATTGCTCTCTGCTCATCTGGATCGCCCCGACGGGGATCAACCAGGGCGTGGTGAGGTGCTGAGAGAATCTCATCGGAGACTTGTATCGCGAGACCCCAGTGTGGCGTGGACGTCTGGGCAGTGGATGACGGAGCGCCGTGGCGGGAGTGATGTTCGGGGGACGGAGACGGTTGCCCGGCGGTTATCAGTGGAGGAATTATCCACGGATAGTGCGCAAGGCAGGGATCGAGACGCGCATGGGCTGCCACTGGGGCCGTGGCGAGTTGACGGGTTTAAATGGTTTAGCAGCGCCACGGACTCCGATATGACGCTTTTGCTGGCCCAGACCGGGAAGGGACTGAGCCTGTTCTATGTTCCGATGCGCCGCTGTGCCGGCGATCAAGGGAAGGCACCTGAATTGAATGGTATCCGGATCCAGCGGTTGAAGAATAAGCTGGGCACAAAATCACTCCCAACCGCTGAACTGGAGCTGAAGGGTGTTCGAGGGTGGCTTATTGGAGAGGAAGGGAAGGGCGTTAAGGAAATTGCTACTGTTATTAACATTACTCGGCTCTACACTGCCGGTGGCTCACTGGGATACTGGGGTCGCGGGCTGGCTCTCTGTCGCGCGTATAGTAGGATCCGCTCAACACAGGGGAAGCTTCTTCAAGACAACCAACTACATGTGCGGTGGATGGCGAGTGAGACGGTGAAGTACTGGGCAGAAATGCAGCTGACCTTCTTTGCCGTTTCTCTACAGGGCACAATCGAGCAAGACTGGGGTTTAATGGTTCAAAACACCAAAGCGGCCAAGTTAATCCCCAGCGATGCGGCAACAGCGGCAGCTCTACTCCGACTGGTCACTCCCGTGATGAAGGGTACTGTGAGTGTGAATGCGGTTCATGGACTTCGTTCCTGCATGGAGTGCCTGGGTGGCGTTGGCTACTGCGAGAATAATGAAGACGGTGGTTTGCTCAACATTGCAAGAATCTTCCGCGATGCCGCAGTCAACGCTATCTGGGAAGGAACTGTCAATGTGATGGCGGAAGATGTTGTTCGAGTGATTAATGACAAGCGCCTAGGAAAGGGAAAGATTATTGAGACAGTACTTGGTGCATGGGCCAGACCTATTCTTGCAGTGTGCAGCCAGAAACTGAGGGAGGAAAGCAAGATTATGGAGCAATGCTTGGATACCTTCCAATCCATTACGTCCAGGCATACGAAGGAAGAGCTCCTATACCGGGGCAGGGAACTCATGCAGTATATCGAGGTAGTTGTATGTGGCACGCTACTGATATACGATGCTTTTTCGGACGATAATCGAGTTGCAAAAGAGGTTGCATCTCGGTGGATACGGGGCAACACTCCGTCAAGCATCCATATCGCTTTACCTGCTACTACGTTGTCCGAGGAGTCTGCTACTGACAGGCGGGTATTCCTGGGGGACACTCCCTTGTCCCACGGAGAACTCTCGAAGCTGTAGCTATCTACTTATGCTAATAGTCACTTTGGTAGTGAGTCTCTTTATATACGGGTATAATAAAATCAGGTTCGATAAGGTCGATGAGGTCGCCGTTTATCAGAATCCATCTGATGTCAATTGACCAGTCTGCATAGTAATCAACCTGTGAGTCGGCTTAATGCGAGTGTTCCAGAGGAAAACGTTGAATCATTTTATCCCATGTCGAGTGAGCCGAAGTCTACTGGCGGTCATAACATCTGAGCAAGCAGGGGGTTACGTATGGGAATCGATTCGCTCCCTGAGACACGCATCGAGTTGCAATCTTTAAATGAACGTCAGTCCCACGAAATACTAGAGAGTAGATCACAGAGGCGGTTGAACGGTATGATGCCAACCGACGATTAGACCGGACAGGGCCAGCCAGCGCCAAATTGGCTGCCGACGGGCACGGCGATTGTGCGATCCATGCCCAACACACCCGTGGAGTTCAGACAGGGTGCGACCGGTCTCTTCGCATCAGAAGATGCTACGCCTCGCGTCCATCATATCCAAACAGTTCTCGAGGAGGTATCTCCCCTTGTCACGATCTCGCTGCAGCAGAGTCCAGGGACGCTGCGGGGTCGCTCATCATTCCAATCTGTCTTGCTGCTGAAATTCCCGCTAAAGCGTCATCGAAGCCCGTGTTCTCGGGGAAAGTACAGGAAAGGCGAGATCCTATTTGGATCAAGCTATAAAACGGAGCCACAGATCATCAAGGCGCAGGCTGTACTTTGACCAGCTCCTCCCGTCCCAAACCTTGGCCGATTCTAGTTAATCCAACGCAGCTAGTGTTCGATTCCTGTGTATTTTTATTTATTTATTTATTTTTCCCCTCCTTCTCATCAAATGAAAAGGGCTACGGGATACACGTGTACCAGCCAAGATTGGGGCTGTGCTCACGCCCACTGGTAGTCGCTGCACAGCCTCCTCGTCTCCACACGAGATACTATACAGATCACGAAGCTTCCCCACCAAAACACACCCAAGTACACCAGCAAGGGTTTGGGTGCTGCGGGGGACTTCGAGTGGGGCCGACTTGATCCACCCGGCATTACCAGACCACAGTTCGGCACAGATCTAGGTTGGGTGGTTCTTCGCATAGTGTGTGACCGGCCACGTTGGCATTCTCTTGGCTTCCTAAGCTCCTCTTTTAATGGCACTGTCTCCTTTCTCTTCTTCTTTCTGCATTCGCCGTCTCTAATCCATTCCTTCAGTGTGATATAACGTGCGTCGTAACTCGGGTAGACCCATCCACCATGTCTGTCGAAATTGCTCAGCTCCACAGCGAGGTCGAGGCCCTCGTCGAGAAGTTTGACGTTCTATCCAAGATCAAGGAAATTCAGGAGGGGGGCGATGTCCTTTCATCAGGTGAGTAATCAATTCTCCTCCGATATTCACCAGTGCTGTGGCCTTCTACTAACCATACGGGCGTGATATATGCAGTCCCTGTGACCATCTCGGTCACTGCCGAAGCCACCATCAGTCTCCTTCCGGATCAGTCAACGATCAGCAAGTCCACTCAAGCCGCGAAGAGCCTCTCCAAGGGCGACAAGGCTTCCTTCCAGATCACTCAGGGGGACGAACTAAAGTACACCGTCACAGCCGGTGGCCTCACGACCGACTTCAAGATCGTCTTCGACGTCGACAAGAGCGCACCCAAATTGAAGCTCAGCGACGAGCTGGAGGCCGACGACGCCCCAATTGGATTCGAGACCACCAAGACCGAGACCAAGACGGAGATTGAAATCGAACGCGAGGTCGAGGTGGAGAAGGAATGGACCAAGGGCAAGAGGCCAGAGAGAAAGACGAGTAAAGAGACGAAGCACGAGGCCAAGGCTGGTCCTTACTCCCTCCAGTACGAGGTCGAGACCAAGTCCAAGCTGGAGAAAGATAAGAGCGAGACGGAAACCGAGACTGAGATTGAGATTAGCAACAAGACGGTCCAGGTTGAGTATGTTATCTACTAAAGATTGGGCTTTCAGACCACTACTGCTGCTGCTGCTGCTGCTGCTGGAATAAAGCACAAAAGGAGGCATATAAATCCATGATTCAAGCATTTTTCTCTTTCTGGCTCTTTTCTGCCCTATACCTACCAGAAGTCGACAACAATAGTAGTTTTGGTGTCTTTTTATTTATTGAAAAAAGTTCTATGAGTACAGCAGTGACACCTAGTAATTTTCCCAACAGCTTTGATACTATATCGGCATAATTGCGCTCCGTACCATCATAATCAATAATACACCTGCTGTCGCTGTCACCCTTATATCTTGCCACAGCGCGATTCCTATGTATCCAAAAACCATATGATTTTGATCTGATAGTAGCTACGCTCTGATACAATATAGTTGTACTATTAAAGATACCGTGCCCCCTGCACGCTTCTTCTGTAGTTCCCACTTGGTTGTGTTTCGGCTGTCCTCTACTAGAGATTGTCTCTCGTGATATATCAGATCGCAGGGGCTACTTTACATCCATGAGTTGTTCCTACACTTCCTATACTGCTGTTTATGACCAGTACCTCTCCTAAGAATTTATTTCTCTGAGTCGAATTGCCAGAGTGGTTCCAACAACCGATATTTGGCCCATCAATCCCTTCATGTCTCAAATGGAATGAAGACAATTTACTCCCCTTAGTGAACACGCTCAATCGTCCGCAATTAGTCATATAACAAAGCCCTATAAAACATAGTTCGTAGATCGCTTGGGCTCACGTATATCACACATAAGGGCCATTACTAACATCAGCGAAAACAAATTGCGCCTTTCATCAAATACAGTACCACAATCTCTAAGTCCATATCTGAGTTACTCAGCATATTCCGGAATGTTGTCTCCTCTGGGATGCGATAATTGTCCGATGTGAAAATCGCAGCGTCCAATAATATTGCTCGGATTGTGCGCTCTCAGCACTCACATCGAGTTGTTTACGACAAGCCTCAGTGGTATCTCTAAGGTCCTTATAGGATACCCGTTCACAATTATGCCAGAAAATGTCGTCCGACGAAAGCCGCATCCCTCGGCAAGCAGCATATGTAGACATTGGCTTACATAGCCCTTCAAGGGTATCTCTCTATTGACTACAGCAATTGTTTCCTAGATCTCATTCATACTAAGGTCTTGTATACGTGATAATGTATGTATCGATTGTCTGGAGATCTGCTACAATCTGCGCCGGGCATTTCCCAACACCATTTATATCCGTCAAGGGAAAATAAAGCGCTTCTGAAATCCATCGAAGGCAGAACCAAAAGTGGCCGGTTGGAGAACATCCACACACTCAGATCATGGATCACGAAGTCAACACCATCTGAAGCAATCCTTATATAGAACAAGGAAGATATGTTCGTCATTATGGTCCAGAGAATGAAGTATCCTAGGCCTGTGCAACGGGGAAATATGTCTCGTCTGCTACGCTTATATGCCGATGATCGCTTAGCCACGTACCCTTGGACCCGGCACGCAACTGCCGTCTATTTGCATGGGAATGATAGAGTAATGTGGAATAGGAAGGCTGCGTATGATCTGCTTGGTCCAAGACAACACTGATCCGATCCGGCTTGCTCTGGGCGCTGATTGATTTGGACGGAAAGTTGGGGTATGGATAGTAATTCAATAGGTGAAAGACGACAATGCACGATAAGTATAATGGAATGCAGGAGACCATCTCCCTCTGTGAGGAATGTTTCATTCGTTCCGTACTAGGTTCAGCTAGCCCTAATTGAAATTCTGATTCAGCACCTATCTTACCACCTTCTGCAACCCCATCATCACACCATGTCACCCAATTGCATCAGATCGGACCCTGATTTCTAGCAGACTTGCAAGTCATAGGACAAATACCAGATAGCTCCGAATCCGCACTGCAGGGCAACTCGTATCTGCATTTATCAAGCATAAGCGTGGCACATTCCGAGTGGTTATATCCGAGATAATACTCACAGCACATGCTTGGCAGGCGCAGGTAACTCAAACCCGACCAATGACCATCTTGAACTGCATGCAGCTATTGCATATGGCCGCTCAGTCACCGATATAAATACTTTGGAAGGTCTAGATGCGCTCCATATTACTTTTTCGGCGTAATTTAGGGATCGCCAAGTCCGTGAGATCCTGATTCTAATTTGCAAATGAAAGTTCTTAGATGAAGGGTAAAGGATTATATATTCCTTGTCAAGGATGCCTTTGTTCCTTTTCCAAGTTAGCACTCAAAATGGGAACCAGGTCAATTCTAGTAGTAGGCCTCGCAGTCGCTCAATTCGCGATCGGGTCAGCTCTACCATCATACAATGCATTCCCCCCAACCTCACTTCAATCATGTCTTAGTAAAACCGGTGCGGAGATAGTCTACCCCACGACCAGACCTATGAGTCGCTGTCCAAGCCCCAGAACTCCAACTACCAGGCCTCTCCAGAGGTCATTGTCGTGCCCGCCTCCACCGAGCATGTCGCTGCGACTGTCAAATGCGTGGCCGCCAAAAAGGGCAATGTGACACTCAGTCCTCGGGGGGGAGGGCACAGCTATGCTGCGTATAGCTTCTCAGGCCAAGTGGTCCTCGACCCGAGTCGCATGAGAAGGATCTCCATCGACGACGCGAGGAGGAGAGCGACTGTGCAATTCGGGCAGACGCTGGGTCCGTTGGCGACAGCTCTCGGGAAAAGGGGCTATGCGTTGCCTCATGGCACTTGTCCTACTGTTGGTGTGGCGGGTCATTCCATGGGCGGGGGATGGGGGTTTCCGTCTAGAAAATGGGGATGGCTGGTTGATCGAAGTAAGTACTTTGATTCTATCTGCTGAGGGAGGAATTCTAACGCATATATTAGTGTGGGACTCGAGTTTGTCGATGTGAACGGGAACATTAAGCAACTGAGCCCTAGCTCAACGGGACAGGATGCCGAGCTATGGTGGGCGCTGCGCGGTGCAGGGTCGAACAACTTCGGTGTGGTTACGGCGTTCACATTCTCACTGGAACAGGCCCCGACAAACGTTGTCAACTACGAACTCTACTTTGGACCAGAATCAGATTGTGTTCAGGTCCTCTTGCAAGTCCAGGGGCTCGGTCAACTTCCCGCCGACAGTCCGGACGGACTTCCTCTTGACTTAGGGATCGAAGTCCTCCTCATGGGCCGAGACAATAACCAGGGCAGCGCCTGCATCCTACAAGGCCAGTATCTCGGCAAGCGATCCGCATATGAAACTGCCATGAACAAGATTCTACAAAAGCTTGCCGCGCAAGGCATCAAGCCCGTTCGATCCGAATCCAAGGTTAAAGAATTCAATAGCTGGGTTGCCGCACTCACCGACCTCATGGGTCCCTTAGAAGCACCGGATGCACCTCTGCCTTACTACGCTCAGTCCGCCATTGACAATGGTGCACCCGCATACGATAAAAACCAGGTGAAGCTCATTTTCGACGGGCTTCGCGCAGCAAGACAAACCAAGGGCTCAGAGCCCGATGTGTCCTTCGACTTACTCGGTCCGGATGCGAAGACTAATCTTCCCACGTCGAGTGGTGATATGGCGTATATCCATCGGACGAGTCTATTCCTGGTTCAGATCTACTCAGCCTATTTCCCGGGGTTTGGGGATTCTGCGGCCCGTCAAGATGCAGTGGATAAGGTTACCAGGATTACGAATGCTGTGAGGATGCCGAGGCCCGGTAGTGAGTGGCACTCGTATCAGAATTATATTGATCCCCATTTGGCGAACTTTGGGCGCGAGTATTATGGTGGTGCGTTAGAGCGGTTGAAATCGATCAAGGTTGCGGCGGACCCTGATGTGGTTTTTGATTTTCCTCAGGGGTTGAGTCATGGATGATAATGGATTTGGTCTGGGGATTATCGGATGCTTTCCTACCAATTTCTTAGATTATGGTATCCTGAGAAATTCATCCGGTTATGCATGATTGAAAACAAGAGAATAAGAGCCACTACCTCTCTCGTGTGAAGATTCCAAACAGGGGCCGCCTGGTCCTGAATTCATATGTGTACAAAAATATGAAACCAATCTGATTTTTACGTTACAAAACTGCGGACCGGCCGTCGCTGAGTGGCTGGAACTTGATTTCTGATTGGGGCCCGATCGTGTGCTGTTTACTGGTGGCAGTACTGGTTAGTCGTTGGTGGGCTGAACTAGGGTATATATCCATCACATGGCCCTGTGTCTCCTGAAGCTTTGAAGAGCTTTCTGAATAATGAAGGTATTTTCAACAATTTCAAGGCAGGAGAAAAAGACATAAAGCGTATTCATTCGATGGCTCCCTGTAGCTATGGCATTACATTCCCTATCAAAGGTTAGAAGGTTTACTCGAAATCCGAGGTGAGATTCTGGAATGGGGACAGAACCTAGAAAGAAAAGCTTACAAATTACTTCAACGGTTCCGGAACATTGGGTCTTGCCATTATAACCAATAAAAGCGCACATTTATAGCCTCCAGGCATGAGTGAGCTAAGCTTTGCGGCGGTATCGGCCAGGGGGAAGAATGTTATATGGCCGCATAACCAGGGACAACTGCTGCACAGACTTGTGTCGATCATTGTGTACGCTGCAAATCTAGAGGCAGTTACAGATATAACTCTGTCAGTCATACGTTGAGAGATCCAGCACAAGTTGTCAGACCTGTCGGTGAGTGCTGCCCTAAGCACGGCGAGAGCAAGACCGCAAAATACTGAAGGGAGTTGGGGTAGGCCCGACATGTCAAATGTGACAAAGTACCCGGCGCATGCTTCAACTGTGCCTCCACGAAACTTAAATGAGAGGGATACGACCAGAATCGATTACCGCAGGTGATTGCGCGCGGGCAAAACTCGAGTCTGTGCGGAGTCCCACCATCCGTGTGGCGCATTTGAGTTCTGATGAACGGCATGGTTTCGCCTTGTTCCAAAGGAGAACCGTGCCGATTATGACAGAAACTTGATTCAACGTTTTGGTAGCGATGAGTACTGCAGTTGAGTCAAGCCGAGCCAGCCATCTGCCATGCAGTCATTGTGTTGAGCGCGGTGCACGAGTGCTCCTGGAATAAAGGCACGAACTTACAAACGCTACGCGACATCTATCACCGCTTCATACTCGCTCAATATAATAAAGCGTTGCCAAGCTGCACCTGCGCCTCAGATTCCATGATCCGCAGGTCTATACCATCGTACTGTTGTGTTGCATGGCCTTTGTCACTTTGGAGCTGGTGCAAGGGAATATCACCGTAGCTTCTGACATTTGTAGCAAGGGCTAAACATCCTGCGAAGCCCAGCCTGTGACACTGGCCACATCTCCGAGGCCCGCCCGCCAAAACGTAGAACCACCACTATTGGGAGCATTTGTGAACATGGAACGCACTGCGGGCAACTTCGACCTGTGCGATTCTGGGCTGAAGATCCAGTAAACCACCAGGCCGTTGACAGTACATAGTCCACGATCAACACTATTTGGGCCCCATATTGCGCATCATCAATGATATAATGCTATTTCAATCTTACTGCGAGCGCGCCACTCAGGAACCCTTAGCATTCGCCACGCTGGCCATCTCAATGGAACGGTGCCATGTTGTTTCGTAGTCGACGAGTTATTCGAGGCTTGGATTTTTGGAAACAGATCGAGCTCCATTTTCCTTATCAACAATGCTCAGACCGTTAGTGTAAGCCTTCCTACTGAACCAGAGTACGTATTGGATTATTCTACGCGCTCTTTCCAGGTTGAGATTTGCAGGCAGAAAATGGGTAAGGTATAACCTAACCTAACCGACCTCAGTCAAGGTACAAAAGTCCACTAACCTAGATAGGTTAAAGTTAGAAGGAGCCACGGTTAACATTGGATGCCTGACACGGCGTCAAGGCGTCGAACTAATCCTGTATAGGAAGGCAGTCACACAGGGGTTTCCAAAAATACTAGCAGAGAATGGTTAGCCCTAGTTCACCGCTTGACTAAGTAGGATGAAGTTGCCGCCTCAGGCAGAGGTAGGTTAAAATGTTAATCACAGAGGAACAATATATATCTACACTCAACCACGGTGAAGCAAGCTAGGAACAACCAATTGAATCCATTAATCAAACCAAACATAACCATACACTAGTCTAAGTAAAAATCCAGTGAAATTTCCCTCTCACCTGTTTCTCTCTCCCCTTAAAGGGATGATTCGAGATGCATTGGCTTTGTGTTCTCTGACCATGTTGCCAAAGCGTGTTCCTCCGCATTCCATCCCCACAAACGCTGCTGAGTTTCTGCATCAGCCCATTTGTCCGGGTTGGCTGCACTCTTCATGCTCGCAAGGAACTGTTCATCGCGAGCCTTTTGCTCGGGACCATCGGGGAGATGTAAAATAGTACGGTTAGCCATTCCCGATTGCTGGATCGCCTCAGCGCGTGGTTTACGGGACATCTCGTAGGCCCGAAGCGCCTCAGGAATGGCATGCCGAGAGGGTATGACAGATAGGAGAATAGCCAAGGCGGCCGCATCCTCAACAGCTTGAGCGGCACCTTGCGCAACATATGGTCTGGCTCCCGATCAGCTTTCATGTTTCTTGCTGAACAACATCAACAGAGGAAGGACGGGACCAAGACTTACAGCATCGGATGACAAGCATCCCCAAGCAGCGCAACACGGCCTTTCGTCCACGAATCTAGGCTTGGGTAGCTGCACAGCTTCCACTCCAGGACCTCATCTTCTTTGACGAGATCGAGGAGCTTTAGCACCGTTGTGTCCCAGCCATGATAATGACGCAACATACTTTGCTTGGACGCCGTCGTAGTCCATGACTCTTCTGCTTCATGATCGTCTGGATGAAGTAAGACAATATTAAACAGCTCATGGTTACGCACGGGATACGCGATAATATGACGATGTGGCCCAATCCAGCGAGTAGCGCTGGGACTATCCAACAAGGCTTTCAACTCCTGGTCCTGCTCCATCACTTCTCGTGACAGCATGATGCGGTAAGCGGCATCCCCCGTTGGAATGGGCTGCATCGCCAATGGCCCCAGGATCTCCCCGCGGAGCACTGATTTGATCCCATCGGCTGCCACCACCACATCACCCGTTACCACCGTGCCATCCACTAGCGTGACGGCCGCTGGGTGGTAGGACTTGATGCCCGTAACACGGGAGTTTACCTTCAGCTGCACATTCTCCAGCGCCAGAGCCTTGGTGATGAGCGCGTTATGCAGATCGGCACGATGCACGACCGTCTGCTGCCCGTAAGCCTTATTAACAGGCATTGTGCTGAGGATGCCACCATCCTTCCAGCGGCGAATAGTAATGCTTTCAAGTGCGATGTCCTTGGCATGTACCATGGAAGATACTCCCCATTCTAGCGCCCCAGCCAAGAGGGGAGAGGTTTAGCCTCAAGATGTACTTAAGATATCTGCACCTAAAGGACTTACGATCAAAAAGACGTAGCATATTAGGCGATGCTTGAATTCCGGCACCAACTTCCATCAACTACAAGTCCCACGTGATGAAGATTAGTTCTATCACCCAGATATTCTGCTCCTGTTATCAGCTGCAGTGAGGGGCACGCACTTTTGGGGCCGATTCCAAGATAGTAACATGGTGACCACGCAGGCCTAAGGCCAGTGCTGCTGCCATACCACCAATCCCTGGATTTTATATCAGAAGACATTTGGCTATGAGACTTGAAGAGACGCACCGGCTCTGAGTTGCGTGTAACATATGAGTCAATGCAGGAACCGGAATTAAGGGAATAGATGGTATCGTACCCAACAATGACAACTTCAAGAGCTGTCTTCGCCTGAGGTACAATCATGGTGCCAATCAAAGGAGGGAATAATCAATATTCAAGAGTTGTGGCAGACCTGGCGGACTGGAGGAGGAATTGATACAGCGAAAGAGGCCATCTACATTTTTTGTCCAATTCAAGCACGCGGACAAGAGTCTTATATACTAATGGTGATATTTCTACTTTAACCTGCAAAATCTCTTCCCACCGGCTTTTCTATCCAATTTGTTCCCCTTGGCTCCTTCCCCTCTCAATTTTGATCTTGTCGGCAATTTCTCACTCCCGGAGCTATAGTCGGTAGTAGCTGCAAAGGATGTCTAGCATCGACTAGGCCGAGATAGGCAAATTTATCAACAAAGTCTGCCCCGAGGCATGGTTACAATTGATCTTGACGGTGGGATCTGGGTATAGTGTATCTTTCGGCTGATGAGGGCTCATGGTAGGTTCGGCAAACTGCCGAGAGATTCCCTTTTGGCTGACGTTATTGAACGGCTAAGCGAAATTTCTTAAGGGACGGCTCGCGGACGGACCAGAACAGGGCGCCCCACCAGCTAAAGCCTAATTACCATGACTGGCAGCTGAAACGATGAGTCGGTCTAAATACCTACTATAGTATATATGCAGTGATATACTAGTGAGCCATCGTTCCTGGACATCTGATTGGCTCCGCTTACACCCCTCAGCAACACCAATATGAGGCTAATGGCAGCATGCAAGTCCAGACGGTGTTGCTGAACGGCCCCCCGACTCTGTATTGTTCATGAGATGTCTATTCTCGGCAAATTCTCAAGGCCCAGGAGTCATATTTGCCGATATATCGACCGTGAGTCTTGAAGTCTCCCGTCCAGCTGCTAACTAACGACACGGGCTATTCCTAGTCCAACAACGAACGCAGATTATCTAGAGACCACTGGGATGATGGTGGCATCTGAGTCCTGCCATCCTAATCTTGCCAAGCGATCGGAACGAAAGGACGGACTGACCTCTTCTTCGGCGAAACCGTCAAGTATTTAACCTGTCGCGTCGGAAGGATGTCGTCAATGGCAGAGAGAAGATACACAGACACCTGCGAGCGGTCCTAGATATCTGAGTTTGCCCTTCTGTTCTTGCCATGCCTCCTCTGATCCCATACCATGTCTCTGCCGGGAGTAATCCTGTCGTCAAGTGCGTTATTGCTTTCCCTCCTCTTACCACCGTCCGTATTAGGTTTTCCGGACGTCCATTAACTTCTCCCCTGCTAGGTTTGGAGGCGCCCTTGTTACCGAATTCTTGGAACCCCCGCCGGGTCGGTGCTTCTGCTTCCGTCAAAAGTACAGCCTGAAGCCTCCCATTGACGAAGGGGACCCGGACTACGAACGGATCAATGCAGCACTGAATCACCCCTCCGGCCCTCCCCTCCACTTCCACCCGTTCCAAAACGAATATTTCCGGGTCGAGCAAGGACGCATGTGCCTTGAAGTCAACGGTGAGACTCGCATTCTGACGCCCGAAGATGGAGAGGTCCAGGGCCGGGCCGGGTCCATCCACCGGTTCTACATCGCCCCTGACAGCACCGAAGACATGGTCATTATCCTCAGTGCCTCCGATCCCGGTCTGGACTACCAACTTGATCGCGTTTTCTTCGAGATTGGTATGGTTTGTGGCATGATTACCTGGTGCACGAGGGCAAGATGGATTTCATCCAATTACTCTGCGTATGTTCTCTTCTTTTTCCTTTTCGTTTTGTTTTTGGATTTTATTGAGACCACACTCATCCCTCCCCCCAACTGCTACTCCTTTCTCGAGCCGACAGAGAGTTAACGGGTCGGTGTGAATAGACATATGATGCGGGGGATGCGTATCTTCTGCCCCCAGCCTGGGTACCGAATTGCTTGCGAAAGACGATCGGGTACTGGGGCGGAATCATTGTGGGGCGTTGGATTGGGGGTCTGCTGGGCTACCGGCCGTTCTTCAAGGAGTATACCACGGACTGGGAGTACGCCGTGAAGAAGATGGAGTCATCTTTCTTCACACGACGGCTGGTGGGGCGCTCGTTCTCCTCCGCCCTCGATTGGGCGCAGCTGGAGGAGTGCGCACGTGCGTGGGGGGATGGAGGAGGCACCGATCGCTTCGTCAAACCTCACCCTAAGCTAGTAGACTAGCTATGTCAAATTCTAAAATCAAAATGCTCCCGAGAACTCATGGAACGTAGTATGCAAGTCGGCTAGTCGGTTCGGTAACAGATTGAGATCCAACGGCGAGAACCAATCCCAGGGGTGAGCTAGACTCAAAAAGGGCCCCGGAACAAAGCGTGATCCGCGGCCGCATCTCACGTAACTTCTGTGTAAGCAGAAGGAATCACGCCATCCAGCGGGTTTTCCCGAATCTAGACCCAATGGGGCAGCTCTACGTCCAAACTGGGAGGCTTGGCCTTGGTAAGCTAATTTAAAAGGAAATACGTGTGGACCCTCCAGCAGTCCGCCGCCTTTCCAGGGAATATGATTGGCTGGCTCCTCCGCATGTTCCTACTGGACAGGAACCCACTCGTGATAATGGGTCAGGTGAGGTCAGTGACTGATTGGGCCTTATGCTACTTTATTCCACAATGGACATACTTGACGCTACTTCACCTCTGCCGCCATTTCTATATCATCGTCAATTTTCGAATTGCAGTGAACTCCCTCGTGCCGTCCCCTGGGTCTAGCAATCACTGCCGATCCCCCCACCCTCTCGTAATGCTTTACAATTTCGTATCGATACGCTCCACACCACTCGTCAAGCGGAGAAAAGTGCGTCGGGCATGCGACTTCTGCCGTCAGCATCGCGTCCGCTGTGATGGCAGATTACCCTGTGGCCAGTGTGTTACGAACAAGGTGCCATGCAACAAGCCTTCGCAGCATTCACACTCACATCCACATCCGAATGCACATCCACGCCCCTCATCTGGAAATCGAGAGTTGCAGCCGTCAGGCCCATCTGGTTTCCCACACGCCCAGCCTGCACCTCCCTCCGCCCCGAACCAGGCGGTCCCAGGCCAGCAAGTGAGGCCCCAATTAAGTCCGCCGCGGACTCCATCGATACATCATGCTGCTGTCGCTCCGCTTTCACGGCACTTGGACTCCTTCGCCAGCTTCATCTCTCGCGTGAATAGTTTCTGCTCCGTGGTGTCCCAGATGTCGACCCGACCGTCTCCTCAACCCACCGAAGCAGCCCCTGCAGACGTTCCGTGTTCGTCACGAGACTTGCGAGGGGGAGTAGAGCCAGTTCTTGCGCAGCTAACTCCGGACAGCCTAAAGGAGCTTCAGGAAACACTGTTCGATATTTTCTGGACTCGATATCATTTCCTGATGCCGATCGTCAGTGCAGAGGACTTGGCGGGAATGTTGGATGGACGCTCGGAGCCGTTGCGACAGGCTGCTATGGCCTACTGTTTGCAATCGATCTATCATGCCGGGCTTCATAACCGCTTGCTGGGCATCCAGAAGGGCATGGTATCATCCGGTCATGGGGAGAATCCTTCTCAAAGCCCTCTGGTAGCGAAACTGTTCGTAACCTTATTCCAACAAGCACTGGCTACAAATAATGTCTATATCATTTACGCAGAACCGACTATGGCAGATGTGCAGCGGCATCTCTTCATGGCTGCCTTCTTACTGAACTCGGGAGAACATCAGGCGGCATATAACATCATCGGTGTAGCTATGCGACTCACGCAGTCCCTCGACCTACAGCGCCTCCCAAGAACACATCTGCCGCCACAAGAGGTGGAAACACGCCAGCGAATCTGGTGGAAGTTGGTTCATCTCGATTTCCATTGTTCCCGCCTGCTAGGAAAGCCGATGGCGGTCTCTTTGAATGACAAGACAATTACCGTGCCGCATCCGACACCGGAGTCATCCGTGACCGCCCCGGACCTCAGTTACTACTCAGCATCGATCTCACTGACGGTGATGGCACGACAAGTGGCGAAGTCCCTGGAAGATCACTTGGATACTGTATCAGAAACAGTCGACTCGGTCACCAGGATTGAGCGTTATGCGCACTATCTGTCGCGGGAAATCCAGCACCTATATCAATGGAGAGATCGGATCCTGGAAGCAAAATTGTTTCCCAATATCACCCTTGCCTGTGGAGCTTACCGACCCGACGCAGTGGCTGCTACCCAGGATGGGCTAAAGCAGGATCATGATGCAAGGCTGTCATTTCACCTGGCCCCGGCGGTGATCCTACAGCGAACCCTCCTGGAGCTCCAGTATCACGACATTGTCCTCTGGGCTCATCATTCATTCATCCAGTTTCCGAGTCGTGGCTTGGTGCCGCAGCGGAGTCCACAAGCCGATGTGCACGCCACCACCGCAATACAGCATGCGCTCACCGTCACCGACCTCATCCGTCTTCGGATGCTCTATCATGATGGTCTTTATGGATGCTCCGAGGTCTACCAGTACCTGTGGAATGCCGTTCTCACCCTTATCGGGTTTATGCTGGCCTACCCCTTATGCTACTGGTTTCCTCTTGCCCAGCAGCATGTCGAACGGTCCCTTCAGATCTTCGAGGGAGCAGGACCCGTCAACCCGATTGCATCGCGAGCTGCCCACCTGACACAGTATCTGCTGGGGCGGGTCAGTGCCCTGATGGAGTTGCTCAGTTCTCAATCGTCAGCCCCGAATGATCGGAATGATGGTCGGGGCGTGCAAACCTTTGATCCGGTCGAACCAGAGAAGCAGCACCAGCACCAGCAGCCGACCTCATTCACATGTGAGGATGATGCGTTATGGTCATGTGCAGATACTGTTGACCCCAATATTTGGTATGGGTACTGCCACGAAATTAACGATATGCTGATGGATGTGCCTGAGATCCCACTAGGTACTGAATTTTTCACGTCATAACTACGATTCTTGGTAATTATTCCCAGCATCATGCTCGTAATTCATACAGCCTTAAGAGGTTCATTCTCTGAGTCTAAAATCTATGGCATATCATAAATCATGTACATAAAATCGGGTTACCAGATATGCTCCAATATGAGAAGGGGGCCAAACCACTCTCAAGAAACGGGATAGGTAAGTCCCCCGGTCAGATGAATTGACCCACCGTCAGCTTATCCGACGAAGCAAATTCCGATTGCCGAGCTTCGAGCTCTGCGAGATCCCAATTGCAGGAGAGGTGGCGCCCATTGAGGTATTGCGGACGTTTCGCTGCCAGGTACACGGTCACAGCACTCGGTAGCTCCGCTATTTGAAACATTAGAATATAATTGTTACGATTGCACAGGTTGCTTCTTGAAGCAGAGAAGTGGTTTTGGAACTTACGGGTATCCTTGGCAAATGGTTTAAACCCATCCAGCGTCATGCTAGTGAGGACGATGCCCGGCGAGAGACTGTAGGCGGCCACCCGGGGGTTTTCCGCTGCAATGAACTCGGTGAATTTGGCCACCCCAAGCTTACTGATGAAGTAGCTGCTCAGTCCCGGTGGAGTCAGGGCAATCGTCGAGATCAAGTTCACCACGGTTGGTTGAAAGTCCGCGGCCTCATCCGCAATCAAACGCAGGTATGCCGCCGTAATCAGATATGTCCCCCGTACGTTGACCTCAAAGTCCTTCCACCATGTGGTGGAGTGGGACTCGGCCACGGGCGCCACTGAAGCGAAGACGCCGGCATTGTTGACCAGGGTGTGTACTGCGGTTCCAAACTTCTCCTTGATAGTCACAAAAGTCTGTGCCAGTGCCTTCTCATCGGTGATATCTGTAGGTACGGCCAGCACCTCGACGGCGGGGAATTCCGCTTCCACAATAGCCTTCGTCTCTTCAGCTGACTGAGCAGATTGGGTAATAAGAACCAGCCCCTTGACCCCGGCCTGTGCGTGAGCTCGTGCAATGGCCTGTGGAGAATTGGAAACGTCAGCTGTGCTTCCTTCGGGCACGGAACAGAGGTGATTCTTACTCGTCCGATTCCTTTTCCTGCCCCTGTGACAATAGTTACTTTGCCCGCTTGGGAGAGGTCTGACCGTGTGGGATCAATGGTGGGATAGACATCGCGGTAGTAGTCCTTGGTAATAGACCCTGCGCGGGTGAATTGATCAGGATCAATCTGGGAATCAGACATGGCAAATGGAGGGAATTGGGGGAATTGGGAGAAATTGTGATGAATCTTTGTGCAACAATCTTGGGGAAGCCGAGAATTTTGCTTTTCTCCTCCTGCGTCGCTTCTGCTATTTATCTCTGCACCACGATGTTATCCGCGACTCCACGGTGGAGCCCGTCGCAGCCCTCCCCCAGTCTAACCATAAGGGGCAACCATTGCTCCATTTGGTAACCCGACATCAGTGCCCTTGATATGATGCTTGGACACTTTTAAAAGTCCTCTCAATAGGTCGCTCTACACAGAAACTCAGTCTCGAAATCTGGATTCTCAGCACATCAATCTCTGCATCATGGAATCCTCGAGTGACACCAAGGAGTACGACTCCAGCGAAGAGACTCAGCAAGATGCAGAGATCGACCAACTGGTCGATGATTTTCTTAAACGCCAGACTACCGCAGAATCGGAACGCTTGGGTGACATAATCTTAAAGGATCTGTCTGTCATAGGAGCTGGAGCCGGGGTTTGCTTTCCTATACACACGCATTTCCCTGGATGTGCCGCGCCACTAACTTCACCAGCATCAACGGATGCATGACGTCCCTGAAACATTGCAACGGATGTCGAAGCTCGCCAACCCAGCGACCTGGTTCTCTAGGGGGCCTCCTCCATCTCGGGCAATCCTCCAGCGTCTGACTGGTACGATTCGACAAGGTGAGATGTTGATGGTCGTTGGCCGCCCGGGCAGTGGATGCACCACCGTTTTGAAAGCCCTGGCGAACATAAGGGATGAGTATTTGGCGATGGAGGGCGATGTATGGTATGGGTCAATGGATGCGGGGACCGTCAACCAGGCCAGAGCCAACCAGGTGGCCTTCGTGGGTAAGAGAACCGCTGCACCATCTATGCAATCTCGCACAGTGCTAAAAAGGCGCATGGAAACGTTACAGGAGAGGACGACATCCACTTCCCAACATTATCGGTCGGCACCACGCTCAAGTTTGCTCTCAATACCCGCCGTTCAACCTCCGACCCGGATCGCGCCCAACACCTCCAACAAGACTTACAGACTGTGCTTGAACTCATGGGACTGGATCATGTAGCACAGGTCCGCATCGGGAGTGACCATATTCGTGGAGTGAGCGGCGGTCAGCGTCGTCGGGTGTCTCTGGCTGAGGCACTGTGCACCCGCGCAAGGTGAGTAAACCTCCAAACATTTGCGACAACTGAAAGGCATTCGCTAACCGTACCATCACTCAAGTCTGTTTTGCTTTGACAATCCTACGCGAGGTCTGGACTCATCAACCGCCATTCGCTTTTTGACCACCGTGCGCAAATACACCACACGTAGTCGATGTATGACCGCGATGTCTCTCTATCAAGCTAGCGATGCGGCAGTCGCACTCTTCGACAAAGTTCTGGTCTTGAATGACGGGCGTGTCGCATACTACGGCCCGGCAACTTCAGCCAAAGCTTACTTTGAGTCCCTTGGGTTCTACTGCTCTCCAAGGATTTCGGTCTCTGATTTTCTGGCATCCATGTCTGCAGCCCCAGAAGGTCGGACCCCTCGAACAGACCTTCACCGGCCGGTGCCAATTCACCCGGCTGACTTTGAGACCCGGTTCAGGGAGAGCAGCTTCTACTTGCAGACAGTGAGTGAGGCCGCAAAGCCACCGCAATCCACAGCAGTGGGCAAATTAAAAGCGTCGGGGTACGCTCTGCCGCTGTATCGTCAGGTATATGAGTGTACAGTCCGCCATTATCAGATCTTTTTAACCGACCGGGCCGCCTGGATCGCTGAGGCAGCCGGGACGATTGTGCAAGCTCTGCTTTTAGGTACCCTGTTCCGCAATCAGAGACCCGTGACGCAAGGGCTATACACGCGCGCCTCGGCCCTCTTCTTCTGCGTCCTCATTATGGGTTTACAGGCTTCTGCCGAATTCGGAAATACATTTGTCCAGCGCCCAATCCTGCTCAAGCAGAAGGCTTTGCGGTTCTACCGTCCGGGCGCCTACGCGCTCGGCCAGATTCTCGCGGACGTACCCTGGAAATTTATCTTCATCTTGTACTCACTCCCCATCTACTGGATGATTGATTTCCAGCGCACAGCGGGGCATTTCTTCACCTGGCTGGTCTGCCTCTATATGGGCCTAATGGCACTGAGCGTCATGTTTCGGGCTATTGCCGTCTTCACTAACTCCATCACTCGAGCCATTCTCCCTGTCGGGCTTTTGCTCAATGTGTTCATTATATATACGGGTTTTTACATCACTCCCCCAGGCATGAAGGTCTGGCTTTTTTGGATCCGCTACCTTGATGTGAGTAAGAACCAACAAATGCAGAATGCGTGCCTCAGAGTGTGCTAACCGTCTGCCATTCTAAACCAGCCGATGTACTATATCTTCGAGTCTGTTTCTCTCAATGAGATTGGGACTAGCTCCTATCAGTGTAGCAGTCAGGACATCGTTCCCCGAGGAGCGGCATACAATGAGACTAGCTATCAGGCTTGTGCAGTGTCTGGGTCTGTCCCTGGTGAACTGACCCTTGCCGGGAGGCTCTATTTAATGGCCGAGTATGGCTTCGAACACACGCACTTGTGGCGAAATGTCGGCATTAATGCCGCATTCTTCGTCTTCTTTTCGGCTGTGGTAATGTGTGTTTCTTTCCTTCTCGACAAATGTATAGTTCAGCAGGATAGACGCTGACTTTATTCGTACATACAGGATTGGAATGGAACGATTCCGTCATGCGGCTGAACACATGTCAACGATATTTTACCGAAGGCTACCGTCCTGGGTGAAAGCATCGCCCTCGCGCTCTACGGACATCGAGGATCCAGCATGTGTCACTGAGACGAAGGAGTCCAAGCCTAGCTCCAACCACGATGTGACAGTGATCGGCCGTCTAGAGACGACCCAGAGTGTGTTTACATGGCAAGAACTATCACTTCAGCTCGACGACAACAAGCGTTTGCTACACGAAGTTTCAGGTAAGGCCTTCCTGGGTTAGTGTTCGGAGGGAGAAGGCGTCTCACCAATTTATCTTTTTCATAGGGTGGCTTGAGCCCGGAAAGATGACTGCATTAATGGGCATGTCTGGTGCAGGCAAGGTAAGTAATGTGCAAACTCATTGGGACGCTGTGTGCATATAGAGCCCCCAGGCTGACAGAACCGGTGTCTGTACAGACTACACTCCTTGATACCCTCGCTCAGCGAATCCAGATTGGGCGCTTATCCGGAGGGCTCTATCTGAACGGGCAGAGTCTTCCGGCATCGATGGGACGGCGCACAGGGTTTGTCCACCAAAACGATATCCACCTGGCATCATCCACGGTTAGAGAAGCTCTCCAGCTGAGCGCACGCCTCCGTCGTCCGGCAACGGTTTCCTGGGACGAGAAGATGGGACATGTGGAAATGCTGATACAACTCTTAGAGATGGAGGATATTGCCGAAGCAATGATCGGAGTGCCAGGGGCGGGATTGAATCTCGAACAGCGCAAGCGCGTCAGTATCGGAGTCGAACTAGCTGCGAAGCCGGACATTGTTCTGTTTCTCGACGAGCCCACGTCCGGCTTGGATGGTAATTCAGCCCTCTCCATCGTACAACTGATGCGTAGGCTCTCCGACGCTGGCCAGACGATCCTCTGCACGATTCACCAACCCTCTGCCCAAATGATTGAACAGTTTGACAACTTGCTTCTGTTGGTGCCCGGCGGCAAGACAGTTTACTTCGGCCCGTTGGGCTCCCGGTGCCAAAAGATCCTGGATTACTTCGCTCGCTATACGCGGCGCTGCGGAGAGACCGAAAATCCGGCGGATTACCTTTTGGCAGTTAGCGCCGAGCCTGATGCAGACTGGTTTGAGGTATGTTGTACTATCCCACCCGCTTCCCTACCCCGTCAGTGTTGTTGTCTCAATCAATTACGCGAGTCTGACCTTCTGGATGAAATAGACTTGGCGACAGTCGCCTGAGTATGGTTCCACACAAGAGCAACTTCACAAATTGCTCCAGGTGCAGGATGCCAAGGAGTCATCGTCAGAATCTGATCAGACATATGCAGCCTCTTATCTCGACCAGCTCCGCGTGGTCACGCAACGCGCTTTCACAAATTACTGGCGTGACTCAGACTACGTGCTAGGCAAAATCCAGCTCAACATCTGGATGGGACTGATGAATGGGCTCACTTTTCTTCAGCTGTCCAACGATCTGACAGACTCCCGCGGACGGATGTTTTCAATCTTCGTCGGTGTGATCACGGGTCCCGTACTCAGTCTCCAGATTGAACCTCGCTTCATCCTCCTCCGCGATCAATTCCTGGCGCGGGAGAATGAGTCGCGCGTGTACCACTGGAGCATCTTTACCGTCAGCGCACTGCTTGTGGAGATTCCGTTCACCCTCCTGGGCGGGTTGATCTACTGGCTTCTCTGGTACTACATGGTCGGCTACCTCACCGTGTCGACCGCGCGGGGTACGCCTTCCTCATGTATGAGCTGTACTCACTGTTCGTCGCGAGTCTCGCTCAACTGACTGCCTCCCTCTTCCCCACCGTCCTCGCTGCACAGGTGGCGACGGGGTTCGTCTGGCTGGTCGTCAATACCTTCAACGGGCCCCTGTCGCCACCACCTCTGACTCCGCGTGGATGGCGGTGGTTTTACAATATTTCTCCCTTATTCTACTTTATCGAGGGGATTGGTACCAACGCCATGCATGCTCTTCAAATTACATGCCGTGACTCCGAGCTCACCACTTTCCAGGCGCCCGCGGGGGAGACATGTGCCTCCTACACGGCCGAATTTTTTGGCCTGGCTAGTTCTACAGGTTATCTGGTTGATCCCAATGCAACGGGCTTGTGCGAGTATTGTGCCTATGCGAATGGGGATGAATATGTCAGTATTCCTTTTTCAGTTCATCCTCTTTTATGAAGAAAGCTAATGATTTCTTCTTGATCCTATAGGTCAAGCAATATGACATGAGTTATTCACAACGTGGCAATAATGTCGGCATCTTCATTGGGTTCATCCTCTTCAACTACACCATGGCGGTGCTGGCGACATACCTCATCTTTATCTTCAAATGGCGGAAACGCCGATCGACATGATTGTCGACAATACCTTCGAGTCGTGAATTTTCGATCGCCATATCGACTACCTAGGCATGTTTGCGCACAAGAGAGAATACGAGATATAACGGGGAACGGATACAAATGTAGGATAAGACTGACAAATGGAGGCAGAGAGAGGGCGATATATTGCCATGTACACAGCTACTTTTCACACTCCGTGCAACATCCTATCTCCTCACCTTTATAGGACGCGGCACATCTCCTTCGGTTGTGCTGCATCGCGTTCAATCCATGTACATATATGAAGCATCTCCACATATACTCCTCTGATTTTCTCTTTGCTTGTTCATGGGAGTTCAATCACCGCTTGTCTTTTGTCGGAAGTAACTGGCAGTGGGTCATAAGCTTTACTAGTGAAGAAGTCTCAATCAACTGATAGGTTTTGGTGTACTAGCTGGAACGAGAAGACACCAATGGCATTTAGACAGGTAAAAACGTAGGGTTTTTTTTTTTTCGCGCGTCCTCAACATGTGACAATGGCCCCCTACTGTGTATGAGCAATAGACGTGGCCGTCATGTGACGGGGCAAAAGGGTGGGGTATTCAGACAGATTCCTCCAGCCTCGACCAGACGACTCCTGCTTGTCTACTACCTATCTCCACCCTGCTCTCCGTGTAGGACCCCTCTATCCATTCTGTCCTCTGGGACTTATCTCCTCTCTTATTAGCGTCCTTACTTTGCATCTCCAAGGCCCAAAAGTTGCCACCAAGCCTCTAAGGCAATAACTCGGTCAACCGAAGAAAGCACGCGATGCGGCCGTTGTTGGACCTGCCAAACGAAATTCTCCATCGTATTGCAGGCTCTCTGGACTTAGAATCAGATATGAATTTGTTAGCCAGGACGAACCGCGACTTTCACAGCATAATTAACCCTTTTTTGTATCGTTTCAATGCTATACATGGACAAATGTCCGCACTCCTATGGGCTGCCGATCAAGGGATGGTCAAGACTGCTCAGCATTCACTGAATGCTAGTTTCGGAGTTTCAACCACCGTAAAACTTGAGATATTCTATGATGCACTTGCAATCGCGGTACAAGCGGGACACACGAGTATCGCGAAGACTCTTCTAATGCAAGAGGGAATCGATCCTAATTTCCATTATCGGCATAGAGAGGCCGGAGAATGCATAACGCTTTTAGCAAGAGCAGCTCGGGCAGGTCATGTACATATGGTTGCCCTGTTGCTGTCAACAAAAGGCATCAACCCGAATCTAGGAGATTGCATGGGAAAACCACCGATTGCTTATGCGGCAATAAACAACCAGGATCCAGTGGTTGAACAGCTGCTTGCCGCCCCGGGCGTAGATCCGAATTGGAAAGATGACCATGGGCGTACGCCACTTGCCTGGACAGTTAGTTTCGGATCAGAAGCAGCTGTATCCCTATTCCTATCTCGACAGGACATTGATGTCAATTCCGCAATAACTACGGATTATCTGTGGAAAAAGGGATGGACAGCCCTGATGTTCGCGGCTAGCAGGGTATTTGCAATGAAAGTGGAGCTATTGCTTCAGACGCCACATATCAATGTGAACCACCAATGCTTCCGTGGAAAAACAGCGTTACACCACGCGGTGCAGGTTGGCTCTGAAGTTATCGTCCAGCTTCTACTTGCAAAGGGGGCTTATCCCGATCCCAGAGACGACAACAATAACTCTCCCCTAGTTTGGGCCGCATCGAGAGGTTACCTATCCATCATGAAATTGCTATATGAAGCAGGGGCTGACCTCAACACTGCCCCGAGGGATGGCTGTACTGCACTTATTGAAGCTTCGGCTGGCGGATATACAGATATAGTTTTGTTTCTATTAGGCACGGGAAAGGTGGACCTAGCAGCGCAAAGCGAAGATAGCAAGCGCAATGCTTTGTCGGTAGCTGTAGAGGGGGGTATCGGGAAATTGTCGACCTTTTATTGAGAAAGAATGGCCAAGGGTTTCCTAACGAAATTGACTCTTACGGAAGAACGCCACTATCATATGCGATTCAGCATGGTGATGTTGAGACAATCAAATTGCTGATAAAGAATTCATCCCCAGTTGATAGCAAGGAAACAGACGTCCACGGCCAAACACTCCTCTCCTACGCTGCACAGCACAACAATCCAGAAATATTTAAGCTGCTAGCGTCAGTCTCAAAGGTTAGTACATAGTGGTCCCGCATAATTTAATATGTAGTTACTCCGAGACCAAGAACCCGCTCCACCATGCAAACTACCAAGCCACGAGTTTCACCCCCAGAAGCTGGTCCAGATCCAGAGAGTTCCCGAAGATGACCTCAGCTTTTCACTAGGTTACCGAGAGATTTATTCAATTGTAATATGGCACCAGTAGCAGCAAGGAAGTATAAATGGCGGGGCACTACGTAGACGTGACAAGCTACACTGGTTATCAGTTGTCCTTGTTTAAGCCTCAAATTTTCGCACATTAACGCATAACCCCTAAGCACTGTTCTCAATCCAAGGGCAGGATTCATGTGACAGTGGCAATGCATCTCTCTAGATAACGATCTATCCTATCTATATCTGTAGCATTCCCACTACACCTATATACCCGTCTGGTCGCACAACGGCTAAAGCTCCTTTAGCCGGATTCAGCCTGTACCCAATACAGTCCATCGAGTTCCGGTTTGGATTGAGGTTCCTACTAATAGGACACGGTTTTTAAGACCTATCTGGCTCCCTTGGAGTGTTCACTGACTTGCTACTGGGCCTAGTTTTTTTAAAGAGACGCTGCACGATATTTACAGCACTCTTACTCTTACCCTACATAATATTGTTCTTTTATTTAATGATTAAAATAAATTTAATACTAAAGGTTACTTCTCTATAGATCGATCTATTATTTAATGGCGGTAGAATTAATACTCCGCTAATAGACTTCTTATAAATTAATAGCGATTTAATACTTGTCCCGAGGCCGCTGTTAATCTAGTAAGATAATTAAAATATTAACTCGGGCGATTGTAGGTATCTTTCTATAGATACCGAGTAAATTTTCTATTTCTAAATTAGAGAAAACTTCACGCTGTGTTTAAAGATTATGGTTTTATAGATTAGAAGGGATTTGGATAGGTTATGGAAACCACAGACAAAAAGTTTGGGGAACTTCGTCGATAAAAGAATTTAAATATAGTTATAGTATGTCTTTCTAGAAGCAATTCTATAGTAGTAGTTTTTAAAGACTTTGTCTAGGCAGTGCCAGTATATTTCTA